TCACGGTCCCCGGATTCGTGTACCGTGATCTATCCATATTCGGCCTGGATCTATTAATCATTGGATATTCGATTGTCGGCCAACGTTGCTCGAGTTGCGTCTCAACTTTGCCCTTTCTTCGTCTCGATCGATCCTCGTACGTGTCCATTATGTAACACTCCTTCTCTTCGTGACGAAAAGGTGTAGCCATTATTGATACTTCCACGTTTGTAAGAATTATTTCTAGATAGGCGAGCCAATTGGAGAATGATTTATCGGGAATTTAGTAAAAGTAGAATGAAGAAAAATTCAGAAATTTTAATTCGAATAATCCATAAAATGAAATCACCATCATTTTATAATTTATGATCTGTTTGTTATTCGTCGAATCATTCGCAACAATTATTTAATATATTGGGAAACGATTTTTTGAACGATCCATAGCCAGGTTTCTCGCGTTGACGTCTTCTTCGCGTTGGATAAATGCTCAATTTGCCGCCAATTTCTACTGGTTGAAATCACTTAGCGACCATAAACGGTGAACAACCGGACGGGTAATACGTGTTTCCACTAATGGCAGGTCCTCCGTAAACATAGGATAGCTTCTATACGCGAGCAATTATTATGGTATTCTCGTGTAAGTATGCTCGGCTCGTATCGTGGCTGTTTATTGATGAAGTTTCATCATCGACATTTCAAAATCACGGCCACGATAACGATTAACGTCGCTGTTATCGTTGATAAGAAGCCAATACAATAATAATAATAATAATAATAATAATAATAATAATTGTGAAACAAAAATGTTTCGAATTTAGAGAATTTCCGTGATTTCAAATGTATCGTTATCTTTTCCATTTTTCCAAAACAGACGATAAAAAAAATTGAATTTCACGCTATCTCGAGCGATGTGTTAAACCATTAACAAAGTTATCATCTTTAGGAGAGACCCATCTTTCCTAAAAACTTAAAATTTTTTCACACTTTTTCCCTTGTTCCTCGAATAACAAACAATAACCGTACAATCAGGCAACCAAAACCTAAAAATGGAGCATCATCCCCCAAGAAATCCTTTCCCAAACGTTAAATCACTCGATACGACCATTAACCTTTTACCTCGAGCGATCATTTATACTCTCTCTCTTCCGGCATTGTATTACTGCGTAATAATTATACGCAAAAAGTTAAAAGTTCGGGGAGAGCAACACTTTGTCGAGGCGCGCATTGCTTCTCTGCCGCGGTGCGAAAGTCGCGGTTCGTGGATCGTGGGAGAGGATCGCCCGCGAAAAACTCGGCCCGCCGATTTCGTCTAAATGTAACCCTAAAAGTTCGAGGCACAAGAATGTATAATTACGAGGCATAAAAATAACCATCGCCCACTCGAAAACGCTCGTTGCGGCTGGCCAGTGCGTAACGACGACGGGTCGTCGCACCCACAACTCGAACACTTCGTTCCCATCGATCCCTGGACACCGAGCATCCTCCCTTTTAGAGGATGTTCGGCAATTTTTCGACGAGTGATTACACCGGCCTGACCCCCGTTGTAAAAATGTTGCTTTTAAGTATAAGGCGCCGGGAGTGGACATCGGAGAAAAAGTCGAAGAAACTCTTTCGACCGTTTCGAGGAAGTTCGAGGAGCGAGGGTGGAGAGAACAGAGAAACTCCCCGGCAATCTTCGAAATCGTTTAACCGCATCGTGCTCGCGGCCGCGTTTTGCACCTTTTTTTCGCGCGAGAAATATACTATAAGGAATAAGTTTTTCCAGTGGATTTGGCAAGGTTGAAGGTTCGGGAAAGAACAACTTATTTCTCTATTATTTATTGAAATCTGCAAAAAATATGTAAATGGATAATAATAGTCTACTATCTCCAAAAATTGGACAGTTATTGGAGCGGATCAAAAAATCGTAATGTAAAAATTATGTTAGAATAATTTTAAGAAAAATCGCCAAGATTTTTATGTACAAGCCACGGAATTCGAAAGAAATCTTTGCGGTATAAAACGTCACGCAATTGAATTTGATTATAAAAATATATTTTTCGCGCGAAAAAGAGGTTGTTTCGTTAAGAACGTCCTCCTGATTAAACCGGAAGCGCTTTCGATGGAAAGGGGGAGGGAGAGGGAGGGAAATCGTTCGGATCACCATCTGTCATGGCGGATCGTTAACTCGGTTATAGCGCACGCATATCAAATCGTTCATGACGTACCTTAGCACGAAATGGGCAGCGCAGTAATGCGATTTGGATATATGGAGAGTCCTCTGGGATATTACCAGCGCAGAGCTTTCTCCCCTGCGATACGATACAAATGATATGCATATGTAAATACGGTGACCGAGCATTACGAATCGGCCTAGCGCCGGGAAATCTGATTTGCAAACCTTTCTACGAATATTCAGAGATGCGCGCCATTGCCGCGATACGTGAAACTTTTCATCGTTTTTCCCTTGACAAGTGAAAACTTTTTGCTAGGCAAAATGTCTGCTTCGTGAAATTCGACTTCCAAGTTTTCTAAAACAAAATAAAATTATATTACAACGAAATAAATGAAGTTTGTTTTTAATTGGACAGGACCAATTAATGGTAATTACGAAGGATGAATCTATATATGCAGAAAATAAAGAACATCTTTTTCATTCGAAGCTTTTATTTTCGCATAAAATTAATATCAATGATTCATCGAATACGTCAATAATAGATAAAATATATTGTTATATCTGTATTTCTGATTTTCTTTATTGCCTACTTGTATCTATGAAAGATAAAAAAAAAATAAAAAAATGCAAGATGATTACATACTTATATACTTATAATTTATACTGTACTTATAGTTTTAATGGATACGATTCGAAGTAATGGAAAAAAATAAAAATAAAAGACGAATTATAATATTATGCAATATAAGAAGAAGTTATAAAAATTGTTAGTAATATTTTATAAATATAAATTTTTAATTACAGATTCACGCTCTCTCTCGTTGCACCATTAATTTGGTCTATCGAATTAATACGTTTTCAAGTCCTTCTCATACCTTTGGAAAATAAATTTCCTCGAATTGCTCTAATAAAAACAATATCTCGATCAAGCGAGAAAAGAAAAGAATCTCCTAGAGGGGAAAAAAATACCAAGTTTCCTGTGGATTGATCCAGTGACCTCGAAACAACAGTCAAAGAGAAAGGTCCAAGGGAGTTTGGTTTTATCTCACGGTCTTTTGCTCTATCAGCGGCGTTCGGATGATCCTGTTAACAGGATCAAGGCTCGTGGCGCGGACGAAGGGTTCTTGTTATTCGCAATCGCCTTCTCTGATCCTTAGGGACGCGAAATCCTCCCTCCTGGATGCTCAGAGAATTACCAAGAAAGCTAGGAATATATTCATTTGCAGAGTACACAAGCTACGAAATTACTGTCATTCTTGTTAAAATTTCGTTAATGAAATTAAATTATAATACCATAGTATACTCGTGAATATTCATGAGATGACTTTTTCTTATTTTTTTTTTCATCACAAAAATTTTTCAGATTATTTATGAATAGTTATGAATGATATTCCCATTCACTTTGTTAATTTGTTATCCATCGAAATTAAGTTCTTTCTATTACGATCTTTGAACTACGATCTTGATAATATCAAAGTATCGATTCGATTATTTGAAACGTACTGCGAACAAAAAAAAAAAAAAAAAAATATTTAGATCTAGATTATCTCTAAAGCCACTTCTCGAGCTCGAGTTAATATTTAAAAACGGTAATCAAAATTAAAATACGAGATTGATTAGGAACGATATTTAGCTTCAACGTTGTAATTTGGACGAAACAACCGACTTGAATATCTTTCTCGTAATAATACGCGTTATATATATATATATACCTGTAAGACACCGCACAGACTTTTAGCCCTCGTCCCAAAGTACCAACCCTCAGCCCTTCCCGCCGTACTAATGATTTGCAAACATCGTCCCTCCTCTCGTTTCGCTCATTACAAAGTTTTTGCTTGGCGTGTTGCGCACGAACAAGACAGCCATCTTCCAGAAGTTTGGAAAGAATTACAAGATAAAATTGGAGAATCTCGTTTTTCTTTCAATTTTCATTCCTTAGATAAAACATCGACGATTGTGGACGATTAATCGTTTTTTTTTTTTTCCTTTTAATTTAAAAACGAAATAACGAAATTAATAAACGTAAAAAGTATGATTATTTCCTTTACTTTTTCTTACTTTTCCCTCATTTTTTTTATATAAACGAAAATCTTTGTTATGGACGAATACAGAGTCGAGGTTTTCAATAAGAATTAACGAGAAATGGAATAATCGATTCTTAGCCTCGAATCGAGGCTCAAAATAAATAAGATTTTAAACAGAAATTCAACTTTTGATGATGATGGCAATCAATATCGAAGTATCATGCAATAGAAAATTTTTTTAACGACGAATATTAGATCTGACAAACGAATGTAGAGGTTTTAAAAAATATTCAGAAATCATTCTGCAAGAATTCTTTTTTTTTTTTTTTATCAAGGGTAACGCCAATTAAATTTCTATTTTATGCGCTGTTCGAGTGTCTGTTAATATCTAAATTAAACAATTGATAGGATGTACTTTGACAAAAGGCAATAATTAAAAAGATTAAAGATACGGGTTGAAATTCGATCGATTGATACGTTATATTATCAATTGAAATTTTCTCAGTATCTATTGAAAAAGTATCAATCGAATTCCGTATCGAGTTTATATCCGTTTTATCAAATTAATTGCTTCCCCTTTCTGATATAGTAGGAAAAAGAATGCGAAGAAAAAAGAGAGCGTTAATCGACAATACTGATAACAGACGATAATGATTTTGTCTTTATCGAATCATCATTATTACTCAAAGCTACTGAAATTTTTTTAAACGTCATTCACTTTTATTTGTTCTTATATACGCCCATCGATAAAAATCTAACATTTCGTTTATCCTTATCGATATGATATATATATATATATTCTCAGAGCGTATTAAAGCGAGTGAATCGATACACTTTTTGTCATTATTCTTGCCAACATGAATACTCTTAGTGCGATACTTGTGCTCTGCCTTGCAGTCGCTGCATATGGTAAGTAAGCATTTGAATCTAATCACGTCTAATTCCATTTTATTTAAATATAACGTAGAATTCTTTGTATTTTAAATCAAATCAAGATCAACCTATCTAACCGATTGGCAAATACGTGTTTAACTAATATCAATGAAAAGTGAATAAAAGTTCGTGCAATTGAATCGGAATCTTTTAGAAATTTGAATAATTTGCTTTTTACTGACACTGAACGAGATTTTTCTTTTTTTTTAATCTTGAAGATTTTTACTTTCTCGAAACTTTGATTGAATAAAATTTTACGCGTGAAACTATAAAGAATAGAATAACTATACTATAATTTTATTGGAATAGGCTTCCCTGAAAGCAAAATCGTTGGTGGAAAAGATGCTCCAGTTGGTAAGTTTCCTTACCAAGTATCCCTGAGGAAGAGAGGAAGCCACTTTTGCGGTGGTTCCATCATCGATTCACGTACGATTCTCACAGCTGCACACTGTGTCGAGGGGTAAGTTTCACACTGAAACACAATATAATGACGAATAATAAATTTCTATTATGAATTTTATTATTATCCTTAAATAGAATTTTACTTAACTCGAATAAAATTTCGAGTCTCTCGCTGATAAATCAATGAAACACATTTGTTCAACAGATTAAGTAATTTGAATGGGATCACTGTCCAAGCTGGAACAAATCAACTCAACTCAGGTGGAGTTTCTTATGTGCCGGAGAAAGTCGTTGCCCATAGCGGTTACAACTCGCTCAGTCTCGTTAATGACATTGCTTTGATCCGTGTGAATCAAGCTATCTCATTCAACAACTTGGTCCAATCGATCAAATTGGCTTCGGGTAGCAATACTTATGAAGGATCATCCTGCATTCTGTCTGGTTGGGGAACTACTAGAGTAAGTGAAAAGATTATTAGTTATTTATTTTCTAAGGATTAACATTTTTATTTCTATTCTATTATTAATTCGTTATTTTAATCATGTCTAATCATGTGAAAGTTGCGTATAAAGTTATTGATAATACGTTCAACGTATATTCCAATTACAGCTGAATGGAAATGTACCAAACAATTTGCAATACATTAATCTGGTTATCGAGAAACAATCAGAATGTAAGAAAGCCCACTGGAGAGTACAATCTTCTCACATCTGCACATTCACGAAATCGGGAGAAGGTGCTTGCCACGTGAGTATAATTATTACGTTTTATGTTCATATTCTTTTTTACAAAATATGATACATAGTTTTTCCATTATTAATATTAAATCAAATTACGTATTTTTCATTCTGAGACTCCATTCATTCTTGAATATTCGATTATTTGTAATTCACACTTTGTTGGTTCGAGCTTTTGATTTATAATTATTTTTTCTCTCTCAAATTTCAGGGTGACTCCGGTGGTCCTCTCGTTGTTAATGGAGTACAAGTCGGTATCGTTTCCTTTGGACAACCTTGTGCCGTAGGAAAACCTGATGTATACACAAGAGTATCTTCCTTCACATCATGGATCGAACAACATAAGTCTTTCCTCACAGAGGAAAAGGGTGAAGCACCAGCAGACGGTGTCTACATTTCATAAATATAATTTATCGATCACTGATAATTGAAAATTGACAAAAGAATCATTTTCCATTACCAATTAGCAATAAAAATTAAATGTCACAGTTATTTTTATAAAAATATATACGTATAAAAACATATTTATAAAATGAAATTAATTCTGGTCAATAAAGTTTTTAATATACTTATTAATTGTATTACTTTTTATATGCATATAGTATTGTAAGCAATATTCATCTATAAATATAATTTGATATCCTAAAATATTGTTATTCGAAAAAAAGATAGAAAAAAGAAGTTAAATATATATATATATATATATATATATATATATATATTATAATATTATTAGTATAATAATTAAATTAGT